CCTGGTAGGTTCGTTGATAATTTGAGTGAGATTGAGGGCATCTAGTTTAGATTGTAGGATGGCCGGGGTGTTAAGCATATCCCAATTTAGGTCACCAAGCAGTACGAACTCTGAGGATAGATGGGGGGCAATCAATTCACATATGGTGTCCAGGGCACAGCTTGGGGCTGAGGGGGGTCTGTAGCAAGCGGCAACAGTGAGAGATTTATTTCTGGAAAGGTGGATTTTTAGAAGTAGAAGCTCAAACTGTTTAGGCACAGACCTGGATAGTATGATGGAGCTCTGCAGGCTATCTCTACAGTAGATTGCAACTCCACCCCCTTTGGCAGTTCTATCTAGACGGAAAATGTTATAGTTGGGGATGGACATTTCAGAATTTTTGGTGGCCTTCCTAAGCCAGGATTCAGACACTGCTAGAACATCAGGGTTGGCGGAGTGTGCTAACGCAGTGAATAACTCAAACTTAGGAAGGAGGCTTCTGATATTTATGTGCAGAAAACCAAGACATATCTCAGACTGGCCAATAAAAATAAAAGATTAAGATGGGCTGTCTGAGATATGGCTTTTTCTTTGCAACTTTGCCTAGAAGGTCAGCATCCCGGAGTCGCCTCTTCACTGTTGACGTTGAGACTGGTGTTTTGTGGGTACTATTTAATGAAGCTGCCAGTTGAGGACCTGTGAGGCGCCTGTTTCTCAAACTAGACACTCTAATGTATTTGTCCTCTTGCTCAGTTGTGCACCGGGGCCTCCCACTCCTCTTTCTATTCTGGTTAGAGACAGTTTGCGCTGTTCAGTGAATGGAGTAGTACACAGCGTTGTATGAGATCTTCAGTTTCTTGGCAATTTCTCGCATGGAATAGCCTTCATTTCTCAGAACAAGAATAGAATAGAAGAAAGTTTTTTGTTTCTGGCCATTTTGAGCCTGTAATCGAACCCACAATTGCTGATGCTCCAGATACTCAACTAGTCCCAAGATGGCCAGTTTTATTGCTTCTTTAATCAGCACAACAGTTTTCAGCTGTGCTAACTAATTGCAAAAGGGTTTTCTAATGATCAATTAGCCTTTTAAAATGATAAACTTGGATTAGTAAACACAACGTGCCATTGGAACACAGGACTGGTGGTTGCTGATAATGGACCTCTGTACGCCTATGTAGATATTTCATTAAAAATCAGCCGTTTCCAGCTACAATAGCCATTTACAACATTAATAATGTCTACACTGTATTTCTGATCAATTTGATGTTATTTTAATGGACAAAAAAAGTACTTTTCTTTTGAAAACAAGGACATTTCTAAGTGACCCCAAACTTTTGAACGGTAGTGTATATATTTTTTTACTCCATATACAAACTTATACATCTGCCCAGACCCGCATGCTCACACCCCCATCCCTAGTGCCTGCATTATTATTTGCCACTTGGCCTTAAATTTTATCAATTTGTTTTCTCGGTCGCCTATGCTATTTCAATATTTCAATAATAAATCATTAAAGTTTTCCATTGTGAAAATGATGGCGGATTGATTGATTTCCACGTTTTTAGTATACGTTTTTTCAAGATGAGCGATGAGAAGAGAATCTTCCAGCCCATTGGGTATCTCACTACACCCCCATATGCCATGTCTTGAATGCAGACAGATGGATTAAAAGTAAGTTTACATTGTAATACTTCTGACAGCCAACTTTCTAGCTCCGTCCACAACTTTCTGACTTCATAGCGTTCCCAGAAAGCATGGAATATTGAGTCATTCTTAGTGAGTTTTCCATGGATAGGATTCCCCACTCTGCTTCATCCAGGCGCCCCGCGTTGAGGGCTATCTTGTTGTTGATGGCAGACAGACAGGGTGTTTTCCAGGGTTGTCACTTTGCCCCCTATCTCACTGAGCTGAGAGTTAATGCCATCTAGTTTGTTGTGGAGTTCTGTATGGTGGGATCTCAGCTCGGAAATAATTTATTTGACAGAGGACGTGGTTGGCAGTTGTTGGGCCTCGGGAGGTGGCGGGTCCTCCTGCTCCTGGCTAAAGGCGCTAGCATTTTCTGCTGCTATTGCTCGAGTCCTGGTAAAAATGTCACATTTAATGTCGCCTTTTGTAGCTGCCATGGCCTTTTTGACCAAAGATAGTGGGTTTTAACTTGAAAGTGGAGAATAGATTAATATTTGAAAATAACTTGTGTGGAGCTCTCAGTTTATGCAGCTCGTTCAAGGGTCATGCGATTCCCCCCTTATTTCTAACCAGATGTAAAATGTTCCTGTTTTGATTAATTTAATAGAGTAAGTTAGGTCTGCTCTATAGCAAATTAACATACCCCTGAGTCTCTTCCTTGTTTCACACCTGGTAGTTTGGTGGATGGGACTAACAGCTCTCTGTAACCTAGAGGGCAACCAGTGGGTCCGTCTCCTCTATAGCATGTTTCTTGTAGGATGACAATGTCTGTATTTCCGATTTCTTTGGTGAAGTCTGGGTTCCTGCTCTTTAGGCCAAAGGCCTTGTATTATCCAGCATGAGATAGTAAAAGCTTTGCGTTCCATAGTGTCCAGTGTTGCTATTTCTGTGGTTTAGGTTCGGACGATTAGGTGCGAGCAGAACATGCTGAGCATCTGATACATGCCTCTTAAATCAAATCACATTTTATTGGTCACATGCACGAGCCCATTCCCAACAGTGGTGTCTGCTGGGTCCTGTGTTGTCTGTCCCACTCTGGTGTTGAGGCTGTGGTCCGGGTCTGAGGTGGGCTGTTCTACAGGCTTCTTTGGGGGAGTGGCCTGCTCTCTGTCACACCTCAGATTTCTCACCTCTCCCTCACTCTCTCACTCTCTCTTTCTCTCTCTCTCTCTCTCTCGCTCAATTCAATTCAATTCAATTTAAGGGCTTTATTGGCATGGGACACATATGTTAACATTGCCAAAGCAAGTGAAGTAGATAATAAACAAAAGTGAAATAAACAATAAAAATGAACAGTAAACATTACACTAACAAAAGTTCCAAAAGAATAAAGACATTTCAAATGTCATATTATGTGCAAATAGTTAAGGTACAAAAGGGAAGATAAATAAATGGATAAATAAATTGTATTTACAATGGTGTTTGTTCTTCACTGGTTGCCCTTTTCTTGTGGCTACAGATCACAAATCTTGCTGCTGTGATTGCACACTTTGGTATTTCACCCAATAGGGAGTTTATCAAAATTGGGTTTGTTTTCAAATTCTTTGTAGGTATGTGTAATCTGAGGGAAATAATTCTCTCTCCTTTCTCCTCCTGGAGTACCAGAGATAGCAGGCAGCAGCGTATGATGTTGCTTTCCCTTCAGCTTGGGGAGGAGAAGTCTTGTAGCTCTGCTAAAGACGATCATTTGAGAACCTCTGAAACAAGGTTCCCCTTTGCAAAACACAGGGGCACACAGATGCTGCAATCAGAAATAATGAGTGGAAATGTTGGAAACCGTCCCTGATGGTGAAAATGTTGACAACAACAACAAAGATGGTGGTGGTTGACTTGCTGTGATGGTGGGTATGATAATAAAGATTCCGACCTATTAGGTTTTAGGAAAGAACCGGATGATGATAGTGGTGGTAACGACAATGATGAAGATGAAGTCCAAAAGCTTTAGCAAAAAACCTAAGGTGATTGTAACGAGAATGATGAAGAGTCTGACGAAGAGGCTGTTTAAGACAGTCCTATTATACACCCAATACCTCAATTTGGTCACATTTTCTACTCTATGTTGCCCAAAAAAATACAAAAAACATAAAGAAGCCAACCCATCTGATAAATCAGATACAATTACACTGCACAACGTGATAAAAGGATATCAATGATCTATTTATGTCGTAGAAAAAGAGAGCTGCTTGAAACATGAAACCTATTGAAGCCTATGGGAATTTCAAGGCAATGATTGATCAAAAAATGAAAGCTTATCAACACAGTTCCTTAACTCTGAAAACGAGTCACATCTGGTTAGAGAAACTGCCAGAGTAGCAGGTTTTTGCCCAGGAACAGAATGGCTATTGTGTTTCAGAAACCATTGTCTTTCTACAGAGTTGAAGCAGAAAAAAGCATACACAGTAGAGGACATGGGCTCTTTATCCTCATGAAAGGCTAAAGGATGAGACTGACCTTTCTAGCATCAGCTGGGCTTTGGGAACAGAACACACAAGGGCAACTCTTTCTGGCTTTTCCCCTTCCGCTCTGGGGTATGTTTTACAAGCCAAAGACAGAAGTCCAAAGCACTATTACTTTTCACATAGACTCAGACACACAACTATTCCCTCCTTTTTATACACACACACACACACACACACACACACACACACACACACACACACACACACACACACACACACACACACCACATAACACTGTTATCTGTACATGGCATCAGAGTAGGTCTGCAGGCTATGGAAGCAAAAAGAGAACATATCACTCTAGATTACATCAACACAAGGGCTTGATTCAATCAATACCATCAGAATCACTTACACACACACAGGTCTATGAACAGTACACAACCAAGACTCCGTGACCTGCGATCAGGGAGAGGGAAAACATGAACCTACACTGAAATAAACGATGATAATCCATTTACATTTTCATAACATTCTATTATCAACGTTCAATAATTTTTTTCATATCAACTCCAAATATTTTTTGAATATATGGCTTTGTTTTGTTTACTAGAGAGTGCATGAACCGTCTCACCTCCTGTAAACGTTAAAATCTCTGTTGTTCACACTACATACCTAAAGGCCTTTTGTGTGATGTTTCAATGGGTGCATCACTAGGTCATGGCTGAACAAGGGTCTGTGTACAGAAAACATAGAATGGGGCAGGCATATGGGGTGGAGGTTTCATATTTGTATAGGTAAACTAGCACTTGCGGGAAAAAGACTAGCCTATGGTTTGAGAGACAATGGGAATGGTCAGTGACGTTTAAAAACGTAACATCTAGTCACTTCGACACATCAGAGCACTCTTGTCAGTAGAAGAGTATAAAAGGCCCTATGACTCTGTTGAAGGCTACGGTGCCGACATCAAGCCCTCCAACCATGGGAAAGGTATGAGCTAACACACGTTTAGGTTACTTGTTTGATGACTGCTGATATAATTAGGGAGAGCACCAAATGCTGTTAGGCGTATAGTGAAGCTATTTTGCATGTAAGCTACGCATACAGTTTATGAAGCTATGTCAAATATTTCAGTTGTGAAACTAATACTAGTACATAAAAGGACTTGATACGAGGGACTTTTTTCCACTTGTTTTCCAAAAATTGTATTACTTGGATTATATAAAAAATCCCATCTATACTGGATAGGATAAACCAGGAACCCAAAGAAAAGGTCAATTAAAGATGCACTCTGGGAGCACAACAAATGTGCAACATATTGTACAAATTGGATTTGTAACATATCACAGGAATTGCAAAATGATATCATACAAAGCAATTTGTAACATATTACAACTGTAAGTGCTGTTATTGTGAAGTGGAAACGTCTAGGGCCAACAACGGCTCAGCCGTGAAGTGGTAGGCCACACAAGCTCACAGAACGGGACCGCGAGTGCTGAAGTGTCCTCAGTTGCAACACTCACTACCGAGTTCCAAACTGCCTCTGGAAGCAACGTCAGAAGAACTGTTCGTCCACAAACAAGCCTAAGATCACCATGCCCAATGCCAAGCGTCGGCTGGAGTGGTATAAAGCTCACCGCCATTAGACTCTGGAGCAGTGGAAACGCATTCTCCGGAGTGATGAATCACGCTTCACCATCTGGCAGTCCAACGGACAAATCTGGGTTTGGCGGATGCCAGGAGAACGCTACCTGCCCGAATACATAGTGCCAATTGTAAAGTTTGGTGGAGGAGGAATAATAGTCTGGGGCTGTTTTTCATGGTTCGGGCTAGGCCCCTTAGGTCCAGTGAAGGGAAATATTAACGCTACAGCTTACAACAGTTTCAGCATGACAATGACCCCGTGCATAAAGTGAGGTCCATAAAAAAATGGTTTTTCGAGATCGGTGTGGAAGAACTTGACTGACCTGCACAGAGCCCTGACCTCAACCCCATCAAACACCATTGGGATGAATTGGAAAGCCGACTGCGAGCCAGGCCGAATCGCCCAGCATCAGTGCTCGACCTCACTAATGCTCTTGTGGCTGAATGGAAGCAAGTCCCCGCAGCAATGTTCCAACATCTAGTGGAAAGCCTTCCCAGAACAGTGGAGGCTGTTATAGCAGCAAAGGGAGGACCAACTCCATATTAATGCCCATGATTTCGGAATGAGATGTTCTACGAGCAGGTGTCCACATACTTTTGGTCTTGTAGTGTATCTCAATATAGTGAGAGATATCTATGGTGTGCAGCAACCCTTTACATACCAGATAAACATACATAGCATAGGCACAATGCTTCTTAAGCTTGTCACATTTTCAAATACAACTATATTCGTCACGTACGTAGTTTACAGCATGTATAAAAGGTGCAGTGAAATGTGTCCGCTATTGGCCAATCAACACCACATCCATGAGTACTTCTTTCAGTCAAAAATCATTCGCCTTTTACTATCATCATTCTTGACTCAGTCTAAATAACACTATATATAAACTATTTTATACATTTCTGTTCTTCGTAGATTATCTTTTACGAAGGCCACAACTTCCAGGGCCGTCACTATGAGTGCAACAGCGACTGTGCCGACACCTTCGGGCACTTCAACTACTGTAACTCTATTAGGGTGACCGGCGGTCACTGGGTGGCCTACGAGAAGCCCAACTTCAACGGCTACCAGTACATCCTGAACCAGGGCGAATACCCAGACTACCACCGCTGGATGGGCTTTAACAACTGCATCCGTTCCTGCCAGATGTTCCCCCCCGTAAGTCAATCAAATTGATAGGGTTAACCCTGCCACACATCAAACTGTGCTTTAGAAATCAGCATCAATCACCAGCCTTTTGATGTCATTTATAGATAAGGAGAGGAGTCAAAGCATGAAATCTCTGTGGCAAGGTCCACAAGGAGATCCAGTCATGTTATAAAGGAATAGGCTGCACACCCCCAAAGACTTCTTCATTTTCATTCTATTCATCATCGCTCAGTGTTTTTGGCAGTTAAGAAAAAATATATTATGCTTTGAACAGTTGCTCCTCATTTGACTGAACATCTCTTTCTAAAGGAAGCAAGTCTCTGGTATTATTCGATGTGTAGAAATGTATGTTTACCTCTACTGTGAACCTCTGTGATCATTTGACCCCTAATCACTTCATGTCCTCCCTATCCTCTCCTTTCTGTCTCTTCCGCCAACAGTACAGAGGATCCTACAGGATGAGGATCTACAACAGGCCCGAGATGTCTGGTCACATGATGGAGTTCATGGATGACTGCCCCAACGTGTACGAGCGTTTCCGCCACCATGACATCTTCTCCTCCAATGTCATGGAAGGCTACTGGGTGTTCTATGAGCACCCCAACTACAGGGGTCGTCAGTACTTCCTCCGCCCCGGCGAGTACAGGGCCTGCAGCGACTGGGGCTGCCACAACCCCATGGTGGGCTCCTTCAGGAGAATGAGGAGTGGCCTGTAAGCTTCTCACCTCTGGACTGTAACAAAGTGATTAAACGTGCTGGTTTTTAAACATGGCTTCCCTGTGTGATTTTCTTTCCATCTCAAATCATTGGCAAACCAATAGCAAAGTTAGCTTGTGTGTAAATAATTAAGTTTCAGCAATTGGTAAGTGTTGGATAAAGTGTATGGCTATTAGACTGGGAAATTAGATGCCCTACAAGTTGACTGCACCCTCATTAAAGGTTTATTTGCACAAATCAGTTGTGAACAAGCATGTCAAAAGTATATACCGTTAAGTATATTATTGATTAACTAACTGATTGACTGAACTAACTGCAAATCAGAAACTCATTGCAACCAGTTAAATCTATTCAAAGATGTTTAGGAGGCCCTAGTCATTCTCTCCCTTCGGCTGTCTATACATTGCTGGCCTCCATGCCAATAAAGGCAGATGTTGCAACTCTTATTGTGGGACTTCGGAAAGTGCAGTTACAGTATTTTCCATAGAGAGAGAGAGTGCTTTTGACAGAGACAAAGAGCTACTGCTGTGGGCCAGTCCTATAGTTTTCTGTAGTCTATGGAGCACATTGTGCTGACGCGACAAAGCTTTGTGTCACATTTACAAAACCCTGATCCCTGCAGGGTCTATAAAAAGGTCCAGTAACGCTCACTACCCGGTCCGGTCTGAACTAAACACAGTCACAATGGGAAAGGTAAGCATGATCACACTATGCGTTTCACAGGGAAATACAGGAATGAGGCTCATTTAACTATTTTCTATGATAAACATGTCAACAGAATACGTTTCATATTTGGATTTGCTGGATAGTATTATAAATAACAAATTAGCTTGCAATTCATGCAGACATTAATGGCCATTAATGATAATGGATGGGGACTTTAGGAGATATTGAATAGAATGTGTCAAAGGCTCAAAGATCATGTGCAAGTATGAGTAGACTGGACAAAGGAGGGCTGCACAAATGCCTCAAAGGCAGCAGATGTCAAATGGCACCCTATCCCCCACATAATAAATGTTTAGCCAGGACAAAAGACATAAGAATATCATTATCAATCATTATTATTATTAATATTATTATTATTAATAGCCAACTATATGGGCAAAAGAGTGTTTGTCTGCTGCTGTAGGTTACTTAGTTGAATCATAACGTTACTGCTGTGAGAGTTGGCACACCTGATTTCTGCTAATTGCGCACTGCGGCCTAGCTCTCAAAAAACCCTTCTTCTCCGTCTGTAGGGTTTTCAGCAGTTACATTCGCCCACTGTTGGCTCCATGTGAATTACAATTCCGACGCTGTGTTTTAACATTTAGAAACTTCAATAATCATCGCTTTCAAACCTCTTTTCGAAACATATGCTGCTATGCCCCTTATCTTTCATATCAGCGAGAAAGAATCTTTCAAATAAAAAAAGATACACTTACTGTAGCAGTTTTGCACAGATCCACAAGCTGTGTGTGCCTCCAGTTGACAAACTAACCTCCTCCAAAGTTACACTTATGGGAAACACTATTTTTTCGATGCCAAAGTTACTTTTTTGTAACAGGTTAGGAGAACTTACGCAGCAGTTTAGGAGTATTAACGTAGCAGGTTAGGAGACTGAGGTTAAGGTTAGGAAAATGACTTTGTATTGAAGTGGCGTGAGAAGAATGTGTCCCTTATGCTTACACACGTGTCTGGAGCACGCTAGATAGCTAATTAGCACAGACTGCTGCCTATGTCTTCCGTCTGTCTTCCGTAAACAAGCGTGATAAGATGGAGATATGGCTGTGTGGGAACACTAACCCTAACCCTTTAAAGGTGTGTAGTAATTTAACCTTTTTTTTTCATTATTTCTCTCAGATATGAAAGATACATTCCTAGTGTTTCCAAAACCGTACCGCAAATGATGCGTTTTAACATTCAGAATGAGGGTTGGGGATCTTAACAAAACTCCCCCGACCAGAAGATACTATCGTCAATAGGCCCTAAAGTAAAAGTGTCTATAAATGGTTAACTGCAGCCAGACAATAAATTGATATTTTGCAACACATTATGTAGATTATTCTTGTATTTAAAAACGAACACTTTTGGTATGATACAATTTTGTAAATTAACAGATTAATTTAATTCACATGTAGGACTATATGGACTTCAATAAATGCTAGGTGCCTACTTGTGTAGGTAGGTAGGGTATCTTTTTGAATTTTACAAAAGTTTTTCACTTGTTCTGTCTTGCAGTTCAACTTAAAAGAAAACTCCACCCAAATACGATCTTTTGGTATTTGTTTCATTAGTCCATTGTTGACATACAGTTGAAGTCGGAAGTTTACATGCACCTTAGCCAAACACATTTAAACTCTGTTTTTCACAATTCCTGACATTTAATCCTCGCAAAAATTCCCTGTTTTAGGTCAGTTAGTATCACCACTTTATTTTAAGAATGTGCAATGTCAGAATAATAGTAGAGAGAATGATTTATTTCAGCTTCTATTTCTTTCATCACATTCCCAGTGGGTCAGAAGTTTACATACACTCAATTAGTATTTGGTAGCATTGCCTTTAAATTATTTAACCTGGGTAAAACTTTTCGGGTAGCCTTCCACAATAAGTTGGGTGAATTTTGGCCCATTCCTCCTGACAGAGCTGGTGTAACTTATTCAGGTTTGTAGGCCTCCTTACTCGCACACGCTTTTTCAGTTCTGCCCACACATTTTCTATAGGATTGAGGTCAGGGCTTTGTGATGGCCACTCCAATACCTTGACTTTGTTGTCCTTTAGCCATTTTGCCACAACTTTGGAAGTATAATTGGGGTCATTGTCCATTTGGAAGACCCATTTGCGACCATGCTTTAACTTCCTGACTGATGTCTTGAGATGTTGCTTCAATATATCCACATAATTTTCCTTCCTCATGATGCCATCTATTTTGTGAAGTGCACCAATCCCTCCTGCTGCCACCCCCGTGCTTCACGGTTGGGATGGTGTTCTTCGGCTTGCAAGATACCCCCTTTTTCCTCCAAACATAACGATGGTCATTATGGGCAAACAGTTCTATTTTTGTTTCATCAGACCAGAGGAAATTTCTCCAGAAAGTACGATCTTTGTCCCCATGTGCAGTTGCAAACCGTAGTCTGGCTTTTGTATGGCGGTTTTGGAGCAGTGGCTTCTTCCTTGCTGAGCGGCCTTTCAGGTTATGTCGATATAGGACTAGTTTTACTGTGGATATAGATACTTTTGTACCTGTTTCCTCCAGCATCTTCACAAGGTCCTTTGCTGTTGTTCTGGGATTGATTTGCACTTTTCGCACCAAAGTACGTTATTCTCTAGGAGACCTGAGCGGTATGATGGCTGCGTGGTCCCATGGTGTTTATACTTGCGTACTATTGTTTGTACAGATGGATGTGGTACCTTCAGGCGTTTGGAAATTGCTCCCAAGGATGAACCAGACTTGTAGAGGAGGTCTTGGCTGATTTCTTTTGATTTTCCCATGACATCAAGCAAAGAGGCACTGAGTTTGAAGGTAGGCCTTGAAATACATCCACAGGTACACCTCCAATTGACTCAAATGATGTCAATAAGCCTATCAGAAGCTTCTAAAGCCATGACATCATTTCCTGGAATTTTCCAAGCTGTTTAAAGGCACACTCAACTTAGTGTATGTAAACTTCTGACTTCAGCTTTTTTCAGGTCTCTCCAGAGATGTTCAATTGGGTTCGTCCGGGCTCTGGCTGGGCCACTCAAGGACATTCAGAGACTTGTCCCGAAGCCACTCCTGCATTGTCTTGGCTGTGCTTAGGGTCGTTGTCCTGTTGGAAGGTGAACCTTTACCCCAGTCTGAGGTCCTGAGCGCTCTGGAGCAGGTTTTCATCAAAGATCACTCTGTACTTTGCTCTGTTCATCTTTCCTTCGATCCTGACTATTCTCCCAGTCCCTGTCGCTGAAAAACATCCCCACAGCATGATGCTGCCACCACCATGCTTCACCGTAGGAATGGTGCCAGGTTTCCTCCAGACGTGACACTTGGCATTCAGGCCAAAGAGTTCAATCTTGTTACTCATGGTCTGCGAGTCCTTTAGGTGCCTTTTGGCAAACTCCAAGCGGGCTGTCATGTGCCTTTTACTGAAGAGTGGCTTCCGTCTGGCCACTTTACCATAAAGGCCTGATTGGTGGAGTGCTGTAGAGATGGTTGTCCTTCTGAAAGGTTCTCCCATCTCCACAGTGGAACTCTAGAGCTCTGTCAGAGTGACCATCGGGTTCTTGTTCACCTCCCTGACCAAGGCCCTTCTCCCCCGATTACTCAGTTTGGCCGGGCGGCCAGCTCTAGGTAGAGTCTTGGTGGTTCCAAACTTCTTCCGTTTAAGAATGATGGAGGCCACTGTGTCCTTGAGGACCTTCAATGCTGCAGACATTTTTTGGTACCCTTCCCCAGATCTGTGCCTCGACACAATCCTGTCTCGGAGCTCTACGGACAGTTCCTTCGACCTCATGGCTTGGTTTTTGCTCTGACATGCACTGTCAACTGTGGGACCTTATATAGACAGGTGTGTGCCTTTCCAAATCATGTCCAGTCAATTAAATTTACCACAGGTGGACTCCAATCAAGTAGTAGAAACATCTCAAGGATGATCAATGGAAACAGGATGCACCTGAGCTCAATTTCGAGTCTCATAGCAAAGGGCCTGAATACTTATGTAAATAAAGCATTTCTGTTTTTAATGTTTAATACATTTGCAAAAATTTGTTTTCGCTTTTTATTGTGTCTAGATTTATCAGATGTTTTTTTTTTTTTCATCCATTTTAGAATAAGGCTGTATGTGGAATGTGGAAAAAGTCAAGGGGTCTGAATACTTTCCTAATGCACTGTATATAATGAAACCAGAAGATGGAAGTCATTTGCTCCTCCTGTCAACGTTGTTTTGCTTGCTTTCTTTTGACATTTAACAATTATTTTACTAAATTGCTGGCATTCTTTCTAGCCTTTCAAAACATTGAACATCAAATGGGTCACGTGGTGATGAGCAGCATCACCTGTGACAAGGGAAGTGCGTGCAACAATGAAGTATCACCTGTGGGCAGGGCTTGGGGCCTCAAGGATGTGTGGTTTTTGGGATGTGAAAAAGAGAAGTGGATCATTTATTATTGGTCCAATAACACGATTTTCTTAGTCACATGTACTAAAAATATATATTATGATGATAGGCTTGATCTATTTCAATAACACATCATAAATGGTGCATATTGGATTGCAGTTAATGATAAAAATCATTTATATGAAAATGTAATTGTTTTTATTCTGTGCTATGTTATAAGAAACAAAATTAGAAGAGCCAAAACATTTCCTCAATATGTGTGTTATCATGTGTGTATAATTTTGATTTGAAGTTTCCATGTCTCTTTTGTAGATAATCTTCTACGAGGACAGGAATTTCCAGGGCCGCCACTATGAGTGCAGCAGCGACTGTGCTGAGATGCACAACCACTTCAGCCGCTGTAACTCCATAAAGGTGGAAAGTGGTTGTTGGGTGGCCTACGAGAAGCCCAACTACGCTGGCTACCAGTACATGCTGAACAAGGGCGAGTACCCCGACTACCAGCGCTGGGCTGGCTTCAATGACTGCATCCGCTCCTGCCGTATGGTGCCCCCTGTGAGTGTACCACATCGGGTGTCCTCAGTTCCACATAGTTTTCAGTCCCTTGAGTTGAGGGCCGCACTGTCTACTGTTTTTTTTCTACCTTAGCATTTATTGTCATTGCTTGGCTAGAGATGCTATGACAAATAGATTCACAAATTCCACCCTATTTTGAACACCTTTTTTTAACACGGTCAATTTCTTCTTCACAAACTTCATGGTTGAAGATATGTTTTATTCTCATTTTGGAACATTACCATCAATATATTGTTTTTCAAGTCAACAGTATAATTTACTATACCATTCTCCCTTTCGGCTGTCTTCTTCTTTCCCAGTATCGTGGAAACTACAGGATGAAGATCTACGAGCGCTCTGACTTCAAGGGTCAGAACATGGAGGTGATGGAGGACTGCCCCGACCTTCATGAGCGCTTCCACAGCCGTGACATCTCCTCCGCCAACGTCATGGAGGGTTACTGGATCCTCCACGAGCACCCCCAGTACAGGGGTCGTCAGTACTTCCTTCGCCCTGGCGAGTACAGGAGGCACAGTGAGTGGGGAAGCTCCAGCCCCACCATCGGCTCTCTGAGACGGGTCACCGAGACCCCCTGAAGGTCAACTGAGACCCCCTCTTCCTCCCCTAATGCAACCCTATTATAAATCCTGTACTGTACCCCTACCCTTTTATTGCTAGCACTGTTTGAGTGTTGTGTATCTACTGTGGTCTTCTGACCCTGAAATCACATTCATGTGATTGGGGGTTTTGGTCCAGTTGGTGTTGGGTCTTTGCTGCTCAGCTTAGACTGGGAAAGTAGACCTTGGGGCTCAGGCGATGCTCGTATGGTAACAGTGATGGTCTCTCTAGCTTGTTGTTACAGAGCAGAATGATGTGCTTTGCCAGTCCTCAACCTCCTGTCCTATTAGAACCAAAATAAATGAAAACTTGATGAAAGTCAACCAAAGGGCCTTTTGTTTTTATTAACTACTGTCATTATCAAAAGAGGTTACAGGAACACACTTTATTGCATACTTTTATTAATGGTGATTCTTTGGAGTTTCAAACAATAGTCATGGAGTTGGATAGCAACAGAGGGAAAGACACCAAGGTCCAACTCCACCAGTTTCTGCAGACTGATATGAGATCATCATTCCCCCCTCCCCCCACCCCTACACAAAGCAAAATTATCATGGAAACAGATATTATTATTTGAAGCCGGTTATTAAAGAACAAAAAAAGGCTATATGAGGATAGGCTTGTAGGAGACTTTATGAGATCACATGGTGCCGAGCAGGCGCTTTGGGTCCATGAAAGAAGCCCGTATTAGACCCACATCACAGGGCTAGCGCCAACTCAAAGAGGAAGAGTCAAAGTGTCCTGGTACTAGCCCCGAGCATCAAGCCCTCTCAGAACAAAAAAACTAAACCAAGTTTGCATCCCTGCTCATGCATTTTTCATCAGCCAGAGATACGAAACCCTTTCAGAAATAAATATCAATTATTGAAATTGTTAATTAGACGTCCATAATTGGCAAAGATACACATGAATAAATAACTTTGACCATTAATTATTGATTTTTAAAAAATTAAAGCTCAGCAGGGAACACTTTTGAGAGTCTCTAAAGATCAAGCAAAATAAGAAATATGAGTTTTGGCCTTGAGTAATGTTCAATTAAAGGACTGTCAACTTTGCTGTAAAAGTCCAGTGATTTGCCCTGCGTCCTCTGATATGTGTGGATTCCAATCCCCACGGTCGTCAGTATGTCAAGAGGGTGCAACATGGGATCTGGCTCTGCCTAAACGGGGAAACGTCAGATAAAAGATGACAGGAGATTCACAGGGAGGTTGACGTCTGTCGTAAATGGAAGTTAATGCAGGAGGTCATGAAGATGCAGTGATCTCAATCTAGTATCAGCTATGTACATTATGTACTGTATGTGTTCCAGTATGTTTACCTCTTTATGGTAATGCCGTAAACACGTATAGGCCCTACTAGGCCAAAAGCTGCATGATCCCTCATCAATAGGCCATTCTAGACCAGCAAAATATTCCTTAACATCCACGTATCCGACTCTCTACCTCCGCAAGTCATTCTTTGCGTTACAAATATCAAGCTCCTTCCAAAGAGAAACTACAAAAACAGTGAGATCTCAGTAGACCCCGTCTATTCTTCATCAATGAACCCTTTGTATTTGTGATGGGAGGCTGATTGAAGGGTAAGTAGTGCATTTTGGAAGATGAATTCTTTAGCTGTGAGTAGAAACCCACAGAACATACTCTGTGATTCCATTATTAGTCTCAGTTCTCTCCCCCTTCCTTTCATTTCTGATAGCTGGATAATTAAACCTCTATAGTATTGTCTTCCATCTCCCATGCCCCACTTACAGCAAAGTCTCATTCCCAGATGATAACCATTAAAAAGTCCCTTTTTAGACATTTGTTTTCAGATCATTATGACTTCTTTGGTGCTAATTTGTTATTTGTGGAAGTAGAAAGAGTGGTGGTAGGACAGAGACGGATATACATGTAAAAGCCCATACAAAAGAAATCCAATTAATATTCAACAAAAACTTTTATTTTCCAATACGGTCTATAAATTACTAAACACTTGAACTGATCTGTAGTGTGCGTTACTTGACATCAGATATAAAGCTCATAAGCTGGAATGTTACAGCAGCACTGTATCTTAAGGCAGTAGTCCCTCGGATGAGATGGGAAGCAGCTTGTCAATTACTGATCTTGTTTCTGACAGAGGCTCTGGGCAATGTAAATTCCACATAAATAGACATCATGAAAAAAGCAAAAGCAGGAGAATAAATCATTTGTATTCAAAAGAAGAACATAAAGTCTTATATATAAAATCTAACTGGAATGCTTATGAATCAGATCAGATCAATTTCTTTCTTATTCATTCATCTCATATTTTTATGATAAGACATTTAAGACTATTAAATATTGTTTATCCAGTGGTTAATCACTAGTCATTTAACTGCATATAAATAAGGATTGCAGTAATAATGTTAATAGCAATTCATACAATTTGTGACCATGAAGACCTATACTTCAAGCACTATATAAATGACACATCAGTACCTTTCCCAAATTAGGTTTAGCCTTAAACCAAGCATAAACACTGTTTGGTTGTGCAATTGTATCACTTCTAATTGAAGGACCACAATGGAAATAAGCTTTTAAACTTTATTGTGTTATCCTTGATGATTTTCTTCAATTGTATGTGGAGGCGTCACTGGCTGGAGTGCCCTTATGTCTAATAAATTCAATCAATCAATCAATTAAACTAAATGTAAATGTTAGTCTCTTGTGTGAGACCAAATCAATACTTTGAGGGTAAGGGTCTCACCTGATTGAGCAGCCATTCATAAGTGTATAGCACAACAGACCAATCAACAGGAACTAAAACCAAGGGGGAAACCTCTTGATAGTGATAATAACTCTGATGTAAACTAGCTTAAGCGAAAATTCCCATTAAGTGTGGGTCCTGGAGAGCATACGTACCAAACTCATCACTATTGCGCATAAGATCTTCTACACCAATTAAGGTCTGAACCAAGGATGTGAGACCTTCTACAGTCCAACAGGGTCAATGTTACCAATAATGAGTTGATTCACTGCTTGGTCACAGGCAGGGCCCATGAACAAGCAGCGACTGGAATACCGAGTGAGGTAAACACCGCAATTAAACTTTTGAGAGCCGAGGTAGAATTAAAATTGATGTAAACTCTGATCCAGACTGAATGAATAAGACAACGGGAGTGTTTTTTTGGTAGCAGGGGATAGCTTCTCTCTCTGGGAAGTGGTTGAGTGTGTCTCTATGTGGACCTCCCCTGTCAGTCCTCACTCTGGGCAGCCATCTGTCTGGGCTGTGGCTGTGTGACTGGCAGGTTCTCGTGGAGGTACTTCATGGTGCCGTGTTCAGAAAAGTCTGCTGCGGTGTGACCGTCTCCTCTCAGGACCCACTTGGTGGTGAGGAGACCGTCCAGGCCCACGGGACCCCGGGCATGGATACGAGCTGTACTGATGCCCACCTCAGCACCTAGAGGGAGGGAGGGAGACATGGAGTGAGTGAGTGGAGTAGTTGAACAGGAAGTCAGGTAATACAAATAAAACGATGCATACCCAGTCCGAAGCGGTATCCATCTGCGAATCGTGAACTGGCGTTCCAGAACACACAAGCACTGTCCAGCTGCTGCAGGAACTGCTCCGCTGTGTCCTCTGTAAGAATCATCATCACAACTACCATCATTGTCACAGTCATCATCTCTCTTCAGCTATATTTCCTCTATTACACACAATGGATCATTCAATTTAGTTCTACATATTATATAATCTGTGGCCACTAGATGGTAGAACTAAGACAGAAAATGCTCTGTCCTCTGCAGGGAACCAACTAAAAACCCATCTATAATTCAACCCATCTTGGATATTGTCAGTAAAGTACTCAATCAAAATGAATTATAAAACTTGAGGGGACAATAACTTTTAAGAAGAATATCAATCATATAACTAAATATAAATTAATAACACTGATCCCTAAGCAAAACCTGTTCTACATTCAAATCAGTTCTGTCCTCTTCAAAGTAGTCTCGTGGGGAGGTTTTACACGAAGCCAAAAAGTGCTGTCATTACTTATTAGAGAAAGAGAGGAAGAGAGAAGGGGGGAAAGATAGACAGACAGGTCTCTCTTGAAAGAGAGATTTGGTCTCTTTCACCCAGACTAACCTGGGTGAATCAAGGTGAGAAAAAAAAAGACAAAAGAGAAAGAAACTTCTCACAACTAACTATTACATAGTCATACCTACCGTTTTCGGTAACAATGACGTCGGTGTGGGAGCTGCCATATCTGTGGATATGATCTATAGCCTCCTGCATGCTGTCCACCACCTCGATGCAGCACTCCAGATCCCCGTACTCTGTCCTCAGAGACTTGACCTCCGATGGGCTAAAGGTCAGGTAGGAGGCGAACCTGGGGCCAGCGTGGATCTTCACCTAAAGGGGTCACACAGGGAAGGGGGTCATCATTACATACGGCGATCGGTCAATTAATCATCAATCGGGGAGTTAAGATTGTCTGACTCAGCCAGTTTAGCAATCATGTTTAATATGAGGGTTTCAGCATGGAATATCCTTTATATTTTTACATGCTTTTATTTATTTTATTATGTCAATATGTCTTTGTTTTAAATGTCTTGACGCCAAACCGTTGGCAGTTGTGAAAAGTCAGTAGTTGGAAGAGTTGCAGAAATAATAGCAAATTATGTTATTGTTGATTTGATAATTTTTTCATTAATCAGGCTATTTTCTCTTGAACCATATGGTCTATCTACTAGAGACTCATGGGCAATACAGACAGTTATACAGATCAAGAAAAAATGAATATTTTATATGAATACATTTTTAAAAAAAAGTTATTAAGAGTATAAATTACCAAAGACTTCCATAGATAGATCTGTCATTGCGAATCACAACCTAAGTTTTAGTGATACTTGGAAGTCTTTTTGTTATGATTATCATCAACTGGATTGTAAATTGTTAAGTGTTCATTTTTGTGAATTGGGGTTTTAGAAGCATAAACCATCAACAATGAGACATGAAAAATGCAGTTAATTAACATGTGTAAACCCATCCACCTCAACCCAACCTCATGGAAATAATAAATATTTGATTTGAAGTTGTAGTCAAATGTAACCAACCATTCCACCAAACAACCAGCCAGTCGGCCATTACTGTGATTTGAACCTGTATTTAAGAGGAGATGAAGAGGAGGATAATATCACTTGTGGTACACTTGTTTATGTCAGTGTGTCTGTACCAGTGTATTTGAGTGTGTGTGTGGTCTTACCCGTTCGGTGCGGAGCATGTCTATGATCTGGTCAAACAGAGTGGTCCTGAGGATGTCCCTGTGCACCAACAGCGTTTCCATAGCATTGCAGGCCGCAGGGTAGTCACATTTAGAGTCTCTGACTGGAGAGAGAAAATGTCAATCAACCACTCCTTGTACTTCATTGGTAGTAAATTCAAACGTGTGTGTGTGTGTGTCGCTGGAAAGGTCGCCGGTTTGAATACCCGAGCCGACAAGGTGACAAATCTGTCGATGTGCCCTTGAGCAAGGCACTTAACTCTAATTTGCTCCAGAGGCGCCGTACTACTATGGCTGACCCTGTAAAACCACACATTTCAAAGCACCTATCGGTGTGTGACATTAAAACATCTTTTTTTAAATCTTTTTTTTATTCAGTGACAGGTGTGTCTGTGTGTATTGTCCCACTGACCGATCTTGATGACCTTGTCGATGGTGGCCTCTGAGTCGATGTAGACGTGGCAGATGCCCTCACTGTGGCCCAGCACTGGGATGCTCTTGGCTGCTCTCTGGATGTTCCTGACCAGCTGGGACGAGCCTCGCGGGATGATCAGGTCTATCATCTTATCTAGTCTACACAGGTCCTCCACCTCCTCACGGGTACTCACCTGGAACACGCATAGAATATATACAGTACCAGTCAAAAGTTTGGACACACCTACTCATTCAAGGGTTTCTTTACTTATTTTCTACATGGTAAAATAATAGTGAAGACATCAAAACTATGAAATAACACATATGGAATCATGTAGTAAGCAAAAAAAGTGTTAAAGAAATCAAAATATATTTTATATTCTTCAAAGTAGCCACCATTTGCCTTGATGACAGCATTGCACACTCTTGGCATTCTCTCAACCAGCTTCACCTGGAATGCTTTTCCAACAGCCTTGAAGGAGTTCCCACATATGCTGAGCATTTGTTGGCTGCTTTTCCTTCACTCTGCGGTCCAACTCATCCCAAACCATCTCAATTGGGTTGAGGTCAGGTGATTGTGGAGGCCAGGTCATCTGATGCAGCACTCCATCACTCTCCTTCTTGGTCAAATAGCTCTTACACAGCCTGGAGGTGTGTTGGGTCATTGTCCTGTTGAAAAACAAATGATAGTCCCACTAAGCGCAAACCAGAATGCTGTGGTAGCCATGCTGGATAAGTGTGCCAGCTCTGTGGCTTGATGACTCATTGCGAGCTCACAGAACAGAGCTCCGGGCAGCTGAGCAGAAATGGAAGAAAACTAAACTCCCTGCCGACCTGGCATCTTTTCACTCCCTCCTCTCTACATTTTCTTCATCTGTTTCTGCTGCTAAGGCCACTTTCTACCACTCTAAATTCCAAGCATCTGCCTCTAACCCTAGGAAGCTCTTTGCCACATTCTCCTCACTGCTGAATCCCCCCCCCTCCCTCCTCCCTCTCTGTGGATGACTTTGTCAACCACTTTGAAAAGAAGGTTGACGACATCCGATCCTCGTTTGTTAAGTCTAATGACACTGCTGGTCCTGCTCACACTGCCCTACCCTATGCTTTGACTTCTTTCTCCCCTCTCTCTCCAGATAAAATCTTGCGACTAGTGACTGCAGGCCGCCCAACAACCTGCCCACTTGACCCCATCCCCTCCTCTCTTCTCCAGACCATCTCCGGTGACCTTCTCCCCTACCTCACCTCGCTGATCAACTCATCCTTGACCGCTGGCCATGTCCCTTCCGTCTTCAAGAGAGCGAGAGTTGCACCCCTTCTCAAAAAACCAACACTCGATCCCACTGATGTCAACAACTACAGACCAGTATCCCTTCTTTCTTTTCTTTCCAAAACTATTGAGCGTGCCGTCTTTAGCCAACTCTCTTGCTATCTCTCTCAGAATGACCTTCTTGATCCAAACCAGTCAGGTTTCAGGACTGGTCATTCAACTGAGACTGCCCTTCTCTGTGTCACGGAGGCTCTCCGGACTGCTAAAGCTAACTCTCTCTCCTCTGCTCTTGTCCTTCTAGACCTGTCTGCTGCCTTTGATACAGTGAACCATCAGATCCTGCTCTCCACCCTCTCCGAGCTGGGCATCTCCGGCGCGGCTCACTCCTGGATTGCGTCCTACCTAACCGGTCGCTCCTACCAAGTGGCGTGGCGAGAAGCTGTCTCCGCACCACGTGCTCTCACCACTGGTGTCCCCCAGGGCTCAGTTCTATACCCTCTCCTTTTCTCCCTTTACACCAAGTCACTTGGCTCTGTCATATCCTCACATGGCCTCTCCTATCATTGCTACGCTGACGATACACAACTAATCTTCTCCTTTCCCCCTTCTGATAACCAGGTGGCGAATCGCATCTCTGCATGTCTGGCCGACATATCAGTATGGATGACGGATCACCACCTCAAGCTGAACCCTGGCAAGACGGAGCTGCTCTTCCTCCCGGGGAAGGACTGCCCGTTCCATGATCTCGCCATCACGGTTGACAACTCCGTTGTGTCCTCCTCCCAGAGTGCGAAGAGCCTTGGCGTGACCCTGGACAACACCCTGTCGTTCTCCGCCAACATCAAGGCGGTGACCCGATCCTGCAGGTTCATGCTCTACAACATTCGGAGAGTACGACCCTGCCTTACACAGGAAGCGGCACAGGTCCTAATCCAGGCACTTGTCATCTCCCGTCTGGATTACTGCAACTCGCTGTTGGCTGGGCTCCCTGCCTGTGCCATTAAACCCCTACAACTCATCCAGAATGCCGCAGCCCGTCTGGTGTTCAACCTTCCCAAGTTCTCTCACGTCACCCCCCCTCCTCCGCACACTCCACTGGCTTCCAGTTGAAGCTCGCATCCGTTACAAGACCATGGTGCTTGCCTATGGAGCAGTGAGGGGAACGGCACCTCCGTACCTTCAGGCTCTGATCAGTCCCTACACCCAGGCGAGGGCATTGCGTTCATCCACCTCTGGCCTGCTGGCTCCCCTTCCTCTGCGGAAGCATAGTTCCCGCTCAGCCCAGTCAAAGCTGTTCGCTGCTCTGGCACCCCAATGGTGGAACAAGCTCCCTCACGACGCCAGGACAGCGGAGTCACTCACCACCTTCCGGAGACATTTGAAACCCCACCTCTTTAAGGAACACCTGGGATAGGATAAAGTAATCCTTCTACCCCCCCCCCCCCCCCAAAAAAAAAAAAAAAGTATATAATTGTAAAGTGGTTATCCCACTGGCTATAGGGTGAATGCACCAATTTGTAGTCGCGTCTGCTAAATGACGTAAATGTGCCCTTGAGCAAGGCACTTAGCCCTAATTGCTCCTGTAAGTCGCTCTGGATAAGAGCGTCTGCTAAATGACTAAAATGTAAATGTAATTCTAAATAAATCACAGACAGTGTCAACAGCAATGCAACCCCACACCATAACACCTCCTCCTCCATGCTTCATGGTGGGAACCACACATGCGGAGATTATCCGTTCACCTACACTGCGTCTCACAAAGACACGGCGGTTGGAACCAAAAATCTCCAATTTGGACTCATCAGACCAAAGGACAGATTTCCACCGGTCTAATGTCCAATGCTCGTGTTTCTTGGTCCAAGCAAGTCTCTTCTTCTTATTGGTGTCCTTTAGTAGTGGTTTCTTTGCAGCAATTCGACCATGAAGGCCTGATTCACGGAATCTTCTCTGAACAGTTGATGTTGAGATGTGTCTGTTACTTGAACTCTGTGAAGCATTTATTTGGGCTGCAATATCTGAGGCTGGTAACTCTAATGAACGTATCCTCTGCAGCAGAGGTAACTCTGGGTCTTCCTTTCCTGTGACGGTTCTCATGAGAGCAAGTTTCATCATAGCGCTTGATGGTTTTTGCGACTGCACTTGAAGAAACATTTCAAAGTTCTTTAAATTTTCCGGATTGACTGACCTTCATGTCTTAAAGTAATGATAAACTGTCATTTCTCTTTGCTTATTTGAGCTGTTCTTGCCATAATATGGATTTGGTCTTTTACCAAATAAGGCTATCTTCTGTATACCACCCATATCTTGTCATAACACAACTGATTGTCTCAAACGCCTTAAAAAAGGAAAGAAATTCCAGAAATTAACTTTTAACAAGGCACACATGTTAATTGAAATCCATTCCAGGTGACTACCTCATGAAGCTGGTTCAGATAATGCCAAGAGTGTGCAAAGCTGTCATCAAGGCAAAGGGTGGCTACTTTGAAGAATGTAAAATGTAAAATATATTTTGATCTGTTTAAACTTTTTTGGTTACTACATGATTCCATATGTGTTATTTCATAGTTTTGATGTTTTCACTATTATTTTACAATGTAGAAAATAGTAAAAATAAAGAAAAAACCTTGAATGAGTAGGTGTGTCCAAACTTTTGACTGGTACTGTATACACACAGTTACACACACAAAATGTGTATGCATTCCTATTACTATCAAGAGATTGTCATATCAGGACTCAAAATAAACTCTACGGCATTCTAGGATTAATTTTTCTATTGGGGGAATACACTGTGCTACATTGTATTCATTTCTCCGTTGAGTATGTACAGGACAGCACTCTACTTAGGAAAGGAGGAATGAAAGGATGCGTTTGCATGGTGTCTGACTATATTTACTACTGGACGAGTAACACAGAATTCGCCCATGCCTAGTGTTCTATGATTTAGAATACTATGATTTCAGTATAATGTATGGTATTTAAATATTTTCCATGACGTTTTTTCTTAAATGGGATGTTTTTTTCCAGCTAAGATTACCAGCTGTACAGCCTCTTTGACCCCGTGGATGTCCAGTGCTTCCTGGGTCAGCTCATGTAAGACGCGGTTGGTGTTGGCTGCTTCCTTACCTCCCTTCGCCAGCAGAGCATTACCGCTGGCTATGGCTAGAGCTGATACCTACACACAAATGAGAGCAATAGCCTTTTACCCACAGAACTACATAACCACCAGCACGAACACCACCCCATCTTACCAAAAGATGATCCGCAATGCACACACACATCCCCAAACTCTCACACACACAGACAAGTCCAAACACACACACCAACATTACCTGTGGCAGGCAGTCGGGGCGGGCCTCGAAGATGACCAGCAGTACTCCTATGGGCACAGTGATCTGCTCCAGCTCTAAGTTGTGGGCTACTCTGGTCCTACGCAGCACTCTGCCCACACTGTCCTGAGAGGCCACAGCTATCTGTCTCAGACCTATAGCCAGGCTGTTTAGCTTGGCCGGGGACAGGCTCAGACGATTGAGCAGGGCTGACGACAACTGGCCTGATAGGGGATGGAGAACACAAATAAATAAATATAGTAGAAAACCCCTGATATCACTTCAATTACTCAGTGCTGCTCTTATATACGTTCAAATGCAACAGCACCCTCAAATTATCAACATCCTATCATAGTCCCACAATGGGATGTTGATAAGTAAATGTCCCTACAAGTAGGACCTGTTTTGACAAATACCATAGATTCATTCAGAGAGATAGACAGACATGACAGGAATAGTTACCTGCATTGACTGCTAGGTCCATGTCCACCTTGTTAGCAGCAAGGATCTCCTCTTTCTTCTCAACCAGCAGGTCCGCCAGGTAACAGATGATCTCACGTCTCTGGGGCGGAAACAATGAATTAAGATTCAAACAGTAAGAAGTGCTACTGACACACCTGGGATCACGTATACTGTATAACTGGGTCTGACCTGGTCTGGGTGCAGGGCTGCCAGGGTTCTGCCTGAGTTCCGGGCCAGCTCAGTCTGCTGCTCCACGGTGGGGCCTGGAGATAGACACATTACCGTGATGAGCACAGACAACAGATACAAACAGCAAAAGGGACCATTGGACATCAGCGTGCATCATCGTGATCATTATCCTAATCTTATTCATTAAAAGAACTACAATAATCATCATCATCATTATTATCACCATCATGATCCTCACCATAATTATCACCGTTATCATTATGCTCATTGTTGTCATTGTGACCATCATCATCATCATTCTAATAACCTTCATCATCAGTGTCAGTCACACAGAGATGACCCAGTAGAACTCACCGGCAGGTTTGACCTCGGAGAAGAAGGTGCCCACTTTCTTGCCCTCCACGATGTCAGTGATCACGTGGCCCGTCACCTTGGGGTGGGTGCCGTTGGCGATGACTACTGATGTGCCCCCCTGTAAGGCCCACAGGGCAGCCTTTACCTGGGGGATAGAGGGGGGATACACTTAGCTCATTTGAATGTCCCACTTGTTTCTCGAGTAACGATTTCACCCCCAAAGTAAAGACTTGCCTTGCGGGTTTATGCCAAATCTCACTCTGACACACAGAGTTCCAAAGTCTGTAACTAATTCCAAAGACTTTCTTAAAATCTGATTACAGACATGTAGTCCTCCACTCTTACATGTATTGAACGACACAGTTTTCTATTCTAATCTATGCGTCTTTGTAATTACCTTTGCCTCCATGCCTCCTATCCCCACCCTGGATTTTGTCCCATAGGTGATCGACTGCTGGTCACCAGGGTAGAAGATGTCAATGAGTTTGGCGTCATCCGTTCCAGGAGGGCTGTCGTACAGTCCTAGAAGAGATAGGAGGTAACTATGGTTACATGATTGTTTACTTGAGTGCTAGCCTAACATGGGCAAAGATTACATTCCTGTCCAATCCATCAGTGATTTCCAAATACAACCAGGGTCGTGTTTATTAGGGTACGCAACGGAAAACATTTTAAAAGGTTTTCTGATAGAAAACGAAAATGTTTCCTATTGTACAGGTTGTCACGGCCTGTTTCAGTCTGTTTTCTTCCATTCAGTGCCTAATAAACACAACCCAGAAGACCTGAAGGGTATACTACGAAGCAGGTTAAACAACCAGAAATAACTACTGATTTCTGGTTCATTAAGAAAGCTAAACTTCAATGTGTTTTTGGTTGTTGAGTCAATTAGACCAAAATTACAAATTATTTCATAATATGTAGGCACTTTAGCTGGCAATCTCCTTGATCCTACTTTGTAGTATACTAGTATAGCCCTCTGTAGTTCCCCCTCTTTCAGTAACGCTCCTAAATGACGGTGCATTGTTTTGAGCCAGAGTGCAGGCAGATGGCGCGTTCCCTAATGGGTGTTAATATGTTGCTGTGTTAGCAGCGTACCTTCTACATCAGAGAGAGCGATGAGCAGGTCTGCCTTCATCTCCACGGCCAGGCGTGCAGCCAGACTGTCATTGTCCTTTATACTGATGACCTAACGTGGAGGAAAACACACCGAGTTAGTCTCACAGAAAGACATTGAAATTGATGGGGTAATTTAATAGACTGTTTGCTGACATTTGTCATCAGTCGAAATGGAGGTCAGTGTATAAGAAAAATATGTCATTGAAATCCAAGCTTTTTATTATAAAGTGAAGCACCACTATGTAGATTGGCTATAGTTAATATTGGCTTTAGTACTGTGTGGGTTAGCAAAGCTACTGACACTACTACTAGTACTAAACAACTAAAGATTGTAGTGTGTTTTCTACACCGGAAGAACTTGTTCGTTCCGCCTAAGCTTGCGGAAGGAAAAAACAAGCGCGCTTCTACCTCCAGGAGTGAGCCCAGACAGCCACACTTTTAGGCCCAGTCGGCTACCATATCGAAGAAACTACAGCGATGCATGTACCTCTCCCAACTCCTCAACTCTCCCTGCATGCACATCCTTTGGGGGGAAAGGAGGGGTAGCGGGCGGGTAGAGCGAGGCGGTGAAGAGAACCAGCTGTATGGTAGTATGCTAGCTGCTAACACTACACCGCTATACACACCCCTCGCCCCTGTCCTGCCCGCTCCGGACCCCCCCTGTGCTCTGTACCCACGTTTACCCCCTGGAGGTCGCTGTTGGGCTCGGGTGGGGGCACCACGGCGTCGTTGGTGTTGATGATGGGCACAATGTTCATGCGGAGCAGCTCCTGCAGTGTGCTGTTTAGGTTCCGCCGCTTCTGGTCGTCGTGGAAGTCCAAGTTGGTGACTAGGACCTGGGATTAAATCAGAGCAAATCCTCTTTCAATTCAATACAACTTCATTGAGAGGTAATTGTGCTGGGTAACAGTGTGAATTCAAATACATAGAGAAAGTGTGCATACCTGTGCAGTGCATGTGCTATACTGCGTGAACATGGCCTCATACAGGGCCATCAGGCCACTCTGTCCAGCTGCCGCACAGGCCCGCGCCTCCAGAACTGGTACTGACTGAAACCGACAGAGAGAAAGATTGAGAGAGGGAGGAATATTTTGAGTAGATTTTTTATAAGTTGATTTCACCATATTTTGGAGCAGTTTGTATAAGACTTGGGCCCGTATCCACAAAGAGTCCCAGAAAGGAGTCCTAATCTTTCCATATAAGCTTATTCATTATGATCTAAAGGGAAAAACGAATCCTAGATCAGCACTCCTACGCTGAGAGGCTTTGTGGATATGGGCCCTGGACTCATCATGTCTTTGAGCTGGTAAGGTTCTATAAGAACTGGACTCTGCATAACAAGTAGTCTCACCATGTCTTTGAGCTGATTCTGTCCAGAGTGCAGGGCCTGTCTGACACTCTGGGAGAGCAGGATCTCGTGCCTCAGTCTCTGCTTGCCGAAGGCCACCGCACCGCTGGTGACGATCATCATCTCTCTGCCCTGGTTCTGTAGCATGGCCACCTGCAACACAAACAAACTATCTCAGTGACCCACATTTAAAGCCTTCCAAGTAGCCTTGCAACAATTAATAAACTACAATAAGCAGACAGTTGTTAAAATACATGCTTTAAGCCATGTCTTGTGTGAAAGTCTTGTTCTCCTGTCAGCCTTTTTACCTTTGACCTTCCTCACCTGCTCCACGACGGAGGCCAGCCTGCCCAGCGCCAGGCCGCACTCGTCACCCCGGGTTACCACGGCGCTCCCCAGTTTGACCACAATCCTCTTGGCCTGGCGGAGCTCCCCACGATGAGCAAAGGAGTTACTGTTGGCACGCGCCAGGGACACTGTGAAAGAACAGTGAAACGTTACTACCCTGCCTTATGGTGGTGCCAATCTGAAGCACTGGTCAAATGCTTTAGAAATGTATCCTTATTGCCTCCCTTACTTGGTTAGCTTGAGGCAATGTTCATAAACACTGTGCCTAACCAGCATGAGCACACACATCAGTACATCTCCTACCAGTAAGATTGTGTGGTAAGTGTGTGTTCAGGGTTCTGTTTTGTTCCATCATTGATGATTTAAAAGTGTTAGGCAAACAGAGCAGCCAGGACCCCCTCACCCCCCTCCTAAATTCCCTGGTATCCATGGAGTTGGAAAATGCAGGGTGCAAACTGCCACATCAGCACGGCAACTGGCAAAGCCATCGCTGACTGCACACATCTCTCCACTAAAGAGCTCTCCACTAAAGCGCAGTCAACCGCATGAGAGAGAGAGAGAGAGGGAGATAGAAACAGAGAGGGGAAGAGAAAAAGACTGGGGTGGGGGGTAATAACAGAAACAAAGAGATAGATAAGGATGGACAGAAAGGGATAGGCCTCCATTATCTTGATGCAATCAATTCCAACTCATGTTAAGAGTGCCCCAGGAGGATAAACAAGTACGCACAGGTATGCAAGATGATGGCATTAAAACGATTAGGACTTCATCAATTTAGGGAACTAGGCTATCCTTCTTGCTTGAGGGAAGAAAACAAACAAATACATCACTGGCTTGTCGTCCCATATTAAGGCTTACATATGTTATGCAGTTATCATGCCATTACTAAAATCTCAAGCTACAGAAATAATTGAAATTGAAATCACTGGAATAACAGCCTAATATTTTCCAAATGTATCCTACATCGACATCTATACCTCTCCTCAATGACTGGTGTAGCCTACTGTATGTGTGCATGTAAGCCTGTATTATGTGTGTGGGTATGTGAATAATAATAATAATAATATGCCATTTAGCAGACGCTTTTATCCAAAGCGGCTTAGAGTCATGTGTGCATACATTTTTACGTATGGGTGGTCCCGGGGATTGAACCCACTACCATGGAGTTACAAGCGCCATACTCTACCAATTGAGCTACAGAGGACCAATGAATGTATGCATGTTTGCCAGTCCCACTTGCCTTGTGTCAGTGCTTTAGCTAGAAGAGGGCAGATGATGGTGCGTTGAGTCCTGGGGAGCCCAGCACACAGAGACAGCCTCTGTAGCAGCATGGTCAACTGACCCGCACTTCCAATAGTTAGAGAGGCGCACTTCCAACAGCTAGAGAGGAGAGAGAAACATTTCATCACTATCAAATCTTCAATATTCCAAGTTCTCTCTTTTCATTTCTTTGACTTGACGAATTCACATCACAGCTCAACATTTAAAAGTCACAAAAGTAAGGATTACGTTTTATTGAATGGCATTTGGTCATTCTTTTTGCATTTGGATAAAGGACAGAAAAACTCACACTAATACTTGCTTATCCTCCAAGTCCTGTTTATGTCTGTTATGCAGCCACGTCTATCAAGCCCATCTCGTTTACAAAATGACTACTCTCCAACCTCTTTGTTCCACATTCCAGACAGTATAAACAAGGCCTGCCCTAAACCAATAGGAGAGCTGAAGCCGGTCTAAATCCCAGAAACTCCTCCCTCTCATGTGCTTTTAAGTAGCTGATGAAACTATCCCTGCCCCTTGCAGGATCACTTATTATGTGCCCCTTATTGATTTTAAAAAAAGGCAGAGCAACTCATGTCGGTCTCTTCTCAAGAATGACAGTTCAAACAGAACATATCACCCACACAAAGCTTTCATTGTCAACAACTTGTCACAGAGCAGCCCGAGATAGAATGATTTGTATCATGCTCGGACAGCAAAGGCTCTAGCTCCACATGGCTGTTCCAGAATGAGCAGTTAGCTACCTGGTTAGCTAACTAGCTACTTACTATACAGGTCAGGTGGCTATGTGTGCGTTCACTCACTCACCACCTGAATTCGTTGCAAATTCTTGCAAAACTTCGCCCGCCACAACACACTCACACGTTACAGTACACGCTCAGTGATTTATTTCATTTAAATTATAGGGCTTCACTTCTCTTTCGGGATGGTGAGGGGAAAGTCATTTGGGAAAGGATGGCTGCGCGTAAACGGAAGTTACGGAACCATAGAACCATAAACCTAGCCCAGTGATTGGAAAGAAATCAGACGTAGGCAAAGACTGGGCGCGTTCCAGGTTACCCTATCACAACACAGCTGATTCAAATAACCAACTCATCATCCAAATCAAATCAAATTGTATTTGTCACATGCATCGAATACAACAGGTGTAGACCTTACAGTGAAATTCTTACTTACAAGCCCTCAACCAAAATGCAGTTTTAAGAAAAATAAGTGTTAAGTGAAAAATAGATAAGTAAAAATAAAAAAAGAAGAAAAATAACAAATAATTAAAGAGCAGCAGTAAAATAACAGTAGTGAGGCTATATACAGGAGGTACCGGTACAGAGTCAATGTGCGGGGGCACAGGTTAGTCAAGGTTATTGAGGTAATATGTACATATGTGGGTAGAGGTAAAATGGCTATGCATAGATAATAAACAGCTTTGATTATTTGAATCAGCTGTGCATTGCAAGTGTAACCGGTGTGAAATGGCTAGCTAGTTAGCGGTGCGCGCTAGTAGCATTTCAATCGGTGACGTCACTCGCTCTGAGACCTTGAAGTAGTTGTTTCCCTTGCTCTGCAAGGGCCGCGGCTTTTGTGGAGCGACGGGTAACGGTGCTTTGAGGGTGACTGTTGTCGATGTGTGCAGAGGGTCCCTGGTTCAAGGCCAGGAAGGGGAGAGGAGAGGGACGGAAGCAACACTGTTACCCGTTGCAGAGCAAGGGAAACAACTACTTCAAGGTCTCAGAGTGAGTGACGTCACCGATTGAAATGCTACTAGCGCGCACCGCTAACTAGCTAGCCTTTTCACACCGGTTACACAAGGGCAAAAACCAAAACGCGCACACAGGGAGGGGCCCTGAACCGAGTTTGGGAAACCTTGAGCTACACTATTGACAAAGACAGAGATATTTAACAATCATTTATTATATTGATGTTCCTGAGAAGTCAGTTGTCTTTTTTTTTTTTTTTTTTGCCACTGGGCTGGCAGGTAAGATTTAGTTTGTCCCTGTCTCTGGCCCACACTCCAGTACAGTAGGTGGCGGTAATGCACCATAACGTTGGATAGCAACCACCGATAAGCCCCACTGAAGAAGAAGAAGTCAGTTCTCCAGAGTTGAGTGATCTGATCATTATGTGCAGCGCGACTGATGTAAAGACGACTTGGAACAGGCCCTTGGTCATAAAGTGCGAGTGTCATGTGATAACCATTGTTGGAAAAAAAAAGTTGTTTAATCATAAATCACCCCATATTGCAAAATACTCCAGCGTCGATTCGATTGAAAGATCATTTAACTGGTTTGAGCTTTTACATCGAAAACTGACGAAGGTAAAGAACACATTTTATTTATTTTGTCTGGCGTTACGCCTAACCAATTGATTTTATACTTAACTTGCTCTGCTAGCCAGCTAGCTAAGTTTGCTAGCAACAACTGTCAGCTCTGCCATTCATTGTTTTGATCAGCTAATAATGATGGACTTGTTTTCTTGCAACTATCTTTAGGCTATATGAAGAGTATGCATTGCAGTTCCCTGCTTGAATAACACATCTGACGATATTCCCTCATCTGCCGTCTTGCTCTTCTCAGATTCTCTCAACACAATGGTACGAGATTCTTTGGACCAAAATATTTTTCAATTTGGTTGAGACCAAATTAAAATGATTGTAACTATCTTGCTTGTTTACTAATTAACTAAGTTAGCTACATTACTTTGAAATGAGTTGAACGTGCTGAAAATCCACTGATAACATTTGAGCTATATCATGTTTTCTGGTATGGGCTAATAGATGAGTTATAATAGGTCCTCACACCCCTTCAATGGTCACGTTGCTCTCCATATGGTCATATGGTACTTTCTAGAGATTGGAGATTACATTTTCAGTGTGATGCAGTATGTATAAATATTTGCCTAGAAAGTACATGTGTATGGAGTTATGAACAGATTTCTGCATTCTTAGACTGGGCAAACCCGTCCACAGTATCTACACCTACAGCTGAACAGGTCAGGGTTCCATAGCCGCAGGCAGAAGAGTTGAAACTGGAGCGGCAGCAAGACCAGGTGGACTGGGGACAGCAATGAGTCATCAGGGCAGGTAGTCCTGAGGCATGGTCCTAGGGCTCAGGTCCTCCGGGAGGGGAGGGAGATAGGGAGCATACTTAAATTCAGAGAGGACACCGGATAAGACAGGAGAATAACACCAGATATAACAGACTGACCCTAGCCCCCCGGCACATAGACTATTGAAGCATAGATACTGGAGGCTGAGACATACATTTCCCATTGTGTTTATTTGTTAAAGGGCCAGCAATAATAGAGAGCATTCGTTTGCTACATTTTATGCTCTTAACTTTTTGAACTTATCCTTGTTTTATCCTTTTAGATCATAGCCTGATTTTTAAGCCGTCGTTGTATTTTTCTATTTATTCAAATAAATTCAACATTTTGGAGTTAAACTGTACCCGGCTTCAAGAAACCTTTCTATGTGCACAAGGTAATGGCCAACTTCGTCATAACACGAGTCTTAGGTTTTCTTAATCCCTCTTCTCAAACTGTGCAGATAGGGGTGGTGTGTCTGGCCCTCCTAGGCCTGACCTCAGCCCTGATTTGTCCCGATGGTGGGATGTGTGAAGATGGGAACACCTGCTGCAAGACCCCCAGCGGTGGATATGGCTGCTGTCCATTACCAAATGTAAGTGATTAGTCTCTGGTCGTCTAAAGTTTGTATGTGAGTGATTGCTTGATTAAATGAGGTAACTGCAGGACAGATTGTCGGTCCAGCTGACCCTGCTTTGAACTGGTAGTGTGAAAATGCTTACTCAGCACCATAGTGTGAAAGAACAAAGCTAAGAACATAGCTAATATTATGGCCATAGCTCAGCAACACCATCATCAGTGATGGGTTCTATTCATTCAAATGTTGTAACATAGCTATAAAATCATGACTTTTTCAAAGTACACACTGTCTTAAAACCCTTCTCCAGGCTGAGTGCTGTTCCGACCACCTGCATTGCTGCTATGAGGGGACAGTGTGTGACTTAGTCCACTCCGAGTGCCACAATAAAACCGTCTCTCTGCCGTGGGTCAGAAGAGTCCCTGCACAACACCTAATCAGCCCTCTGGTAAAGGGAATGCAACGTTATTCTCCATATCTCTGTGTATTATAATCTATAGTGTCTGTTTTGTTTAATATAGATTAGATTTTAATAATGATTCTTTTAAGCCTTTTCGACAATGTTATTTAACTCTAGTTGCATGAATGGGATGCATTTGTCAACCCCCCCCTCATTGGTATGCATTGGCTGTCACTCCATTAGATGCTGGAGGGCGTGAGGGCAGTCATTTGTCCCGACGGCGAGTCGGAGTGTCCGGACGACACCACCTGCTGTCAACTCCCAGAAGGCTCCTGGGGCTGCTGTCCGCTGGCCAAGGTACGTTACACACTTGTCCCATATTCTGTATCTGGAAGTCCTCTTTGAGTGCAATTTTGACAGTGTTAAATTGCCGAGATGTATGTAGGTGATGTGAATAATAAAGTAGGGGTTTGCATATTTTAGCGCTGTCAAAATGAGGCTCTTTATGTTGAACTGTTGCCTCAGGACCATTGTCTCTTCCTATGGTTGTACAATGTTCACCCGGAACCACCACTGTAATGTGTTGCAAAGATGTATCAGTTGATTCTGCAACTGTCAACAATGCCCACTAAAATACCCTAGTGACCCTTTTGAGATAATTGATTCATCCGCACATTGTAAGTCCCTCTGGTCTTCTTGAGTGTCATAAATAACATGTTAAGTGTCAATACCCCTTATGCTTGGCTTCAGCTATTAACAGAGTATACATTTGGGTATAAAGTGACCTGACCTGACCTGACTCCTAGGCAGCAGATTAGTCATAGTTAATGAAGTGAGTCACAGTGACTGCTGGAGGGGGTTTTCACTAAGCGGAATCAAGGGGTTAATGAGAAACTTTTTTTCTACAGTACTTGCAAAAGCGGGCTCACTTTGTGAAATACTCTCTTTGTCTCAGAATTGTTATTGTAAATATTTGATTGTAATGGTTAACACTTCAGGGGGCAAAATGCTACTTACTGTATTATTACGGTATTAATAATTTGAAACAGCTTACCCTGTCCCAGGTGGCAAATGTAGTTGATTTGGGTATGGATATACACAGTGTTGTGGCAAATATCCGGAATAACTGTTAATGTACTTCTTTATTACGAGTTGCAGCAAGGGAGACTCACTCCAGACACAGCTAGAGTAGGACTGAATAAACCTTTGTTCATACACTATAGTTATAGGGACTGTCTATCTCTTGCAGAAACTGTTTGTGTTCGCACAGCACCTGCTCTCAGTCAAACACACAATATTCTGGGCGTTCTGCCAATTACCCTCCTTACATCATGTTATCGCATGGTTCCTCTCATAGTTCTGCAAAGCTGGTTACCCTCAAGTTACCAAACATAGGCATTTTACTATTCAGCAACAGTTCCTTTATTGTACACGTAAAGAATTAACATAAGCATGAATATATGATTTGACATAAGCATATAGTAAATATTCCTCAACAACAGAGTAGGCCTATTTCTGTTACATGTATTTCAATAACTTTTTGAGTATTTTTTTAAAGTTTGTATTTGAAAGCGTTGGAATAAATCACCATGTAATTTGTAACCAGATACTTCAGAGAATGGTACTTTGTATTTTCAGTTTTATAGCAATTCACAATTTTGTGGCCCCATATCACCCCAAATGTACTGCATTGGTATCATAAAGAGGGGTGAAAGTAAGCCGGTACTGTCCGTTACGTAATAGTGGGGGTACGCCATACCGGTTGAACATGAGCCTATGACAATAATTAAACAAAGATGCCAAAGAAACTGTAATCTACAGTGCCTTCGGAAAGTATTCAGACCCCTTTACTTTTTCCACATTTTGTTACGTTACAGCCTTATTCTAAAATGTCCATCATCAATCTACACACAATACCCCATAATGACAAAGCAAAAACAGGTTTTTAGAAATGTTTGCTAATTTAAAAACCGGAAATATTACATTTACATATTTATTCAGACCCTTTACTCAGTATTTTGTTGAAGCACCTTTGGCAGTGGTTACAGCCTTGATTATTCTTGGGTATGACGCTACAAGCTTGGCACACCTGTATTTGGGGAGTTTCTCCCATTCTTCTATGCAGATCCTCTCAAGCTCTGTCAGGTTGGATGGGGATCGTCGCCGCACAGCTATTTTTAGGTCTCTCCAGAGATGTTAGATGGGCTCTGGCTGGGCCACTCAAGGACATTCAGAGACTTGTCCCGAAGCCACATCTGCGTTATCTTGGCTGTGTGCTTAGGGTCGGTGTCCTGTTGGAAGGTGAACCTTTACTATTAGGCCCACAGAGATCCTATTAAATTAATAGAGATTCTATATGTAATTCTGTGTTTATAATTGCACACACAGGGATGTACCGTACTGGGAATAAATTAAGTCTACTTTCACCCCTGATCAGAAGTCTTATGGCACTATTGTGTGAAGCCATGAGAGGTGTTGGATGTGTGGAGGACCTTGAAAGAAAGTTGAAGCACAAGGATGCGCGTCCAGAGCGAGGATAATTCAGTGAATTTGGTCGAAAAGGGGGAAGTGAACTCGGGAAGTGAGTCCTGTGCCTCAACCTTCGCACCTGGTGGTAATGCACACAGGATCTCATTTCTAACACCAATTCTGCAATTTTTTAGTAATCGGTAGCCACAAAGCTCTGAAGAACTGTGCCAATTGTCTGGGCTATTGGTACTGTTCATAGCATGTTAACCAACGGTCACAGGATGTTTTGTAACACATTTAAGGAGGCTTCTTGCAAATGTATTTTCTGTATTGTAATAATTTTTTAAAAAGTTTTTGATACATTTGGTCTTTACGGTATTTTGTAACGAGATACATTAAAATGTATCTTTGCCAATCTCTGCATATACACACATTAAGTAATGGCAGAGTTGGATTTGCTATTTAATAACCCTATTCTGAAGCATTCTAAACCTTGTTTTTCTATTCTCTCTCAAGGCGGTGTGCTGTGAGGACAAGATGCACTGCTGTCCAGAGGGCACCAGGTGTGACCTAGCCCACTCCAAGTGTGTGTCGCCCACCCTGGATTCCTTCCCCATGAGGGGAAAGGGGCCTGCAAGGAGGAGGCAGACGGGTACTGAAGGGACAGACAGAAATAAACAACAAGATCATCATGAAGTTGTTGAATTATGTTCTAGGGTTGTGTCCATTAGAGCATACAACAGAAAACATCAGTCTCTTTTCTTCGGTTTAGAGCCTAATAATAAAAAATAAAAATTTTTTTTTTTAACTAGGCAAGTCAGTTAAGAACAAATTCTTATTTACAATGACGGCCTATCAAAAGTTAAAAGGCCTACTACGGGGGCTGGGATTAAATAAATTAATATATATAAATATAGGACCAAACACACATCACAACAAGAGAGACAACACAACACTACATAAAGAGAGACCTAAGACAACAATATAGCATGGCAGGCAGCAACACACGACAACACAGCAAGGTAGCAACCCAACATGACAACAACATGGCAGCAGCACAACATGGTAGCAGCACAAGACATGGTACAAACATTATTGGGCACAGACAACAGCACAAAGGGCCAGAAGGTAGAGACAACAATACATCACGCGAATCCTATTTATTTTCCCATTTGTCTGTCTGTTCCTGGTGATTGGACACACAGTGACATGCCCAGGTGGTACGAGCAGATGCCCAGACGGAACCACCTGTTGCCTGCTGACCAGTGGAGACTATGGCTGCTGCCCCTACCCGGAGGTGAGTGGAGCTGGGGCAGTACAGACGACCATGGGGTCACATAATCTCAAGCTATTTTATTCAGCTGTGTGTTGCACAATATGTGTTGTACACAGTCTGATGTGTAAAATACATGTGACGGACAGTTATTAGTCTAAGAAAGTGTTTCAAAATGAGGAAAGTGTAGCTAAAGGCACAGGGGGAAATGCAGAGGTTGAACATTTGAAAACGGATAAACTACGTGTTTAATCAATGTGTGTTCTGTACAGGCTAGGTGCTGTACCGACAAACTCCACTGTTGCCCCAGCAATACAACCTGTGACCTGGAGCATGAGATGTGCACTTCCCCCGACACACAGACCCCAATGGCCAAGAAGATCCCTGCCATCCCCAACAATGGTGAGGCACAAACCCCTTCTCCCCCTAATCCCTGGCTACTGAATGTTACTAATTTATTTTGTAGTGTAAACCTGTAATTTTCCAGTGGAATCAATGGTTATGCAGTCATGTAGTCCTCTGTAAGAAAATAAAAATATATATTTTTTTGTTTCTGTTGGTATATTACATTTTTTTAATGTGCATCTCTCTTTCAGTGGATTGTGCAGACAAGGTGTCATCGTGTCCTGACGAGACCACTTGCTGCCTGCTGGGAAATGGGAGTTATGGCTGCTGCCCTATGCCAAATGTGAGTCCTCTGCTCTCAGCCCAATAACTCACCACACATCCATAATCAGCTGCCAGGAAATATCAGCTCCTGTAGGATTCAGCTGTATCAAGACCCCTCTGTTGCTCTCCTCAGGCTGTGTGTTGTCCGGACCACCTCCACTGCTGTCCTGAGGGAACCACCTGTGACATGGAACAGAGCACCTGTGTGTCTAAACACGGCCAAACTTCCATGGCTGTCAAATTCCTCGCCACATTGACCATGACATCCCTACAGAGCGCAGGTCAGAGACAAAGTTCTACATCAAACATTGGCGCATGATGTTAACATTGATTTGCAACAGACTATCCAAGTCGGAATATTCAAGATGAAAAGCTACATAGCGACAGAAGTGTAATGTCCATACATTAACATGAATGTGTGTGCTCTGTGCCCTTCAGTCAATGCTGTGCCCTGCAACGACTCTGTGGCCTGCGCTGACGGGACCACGTGCTGTAAATTACTAAATGGAGAATGGGCCTGCTGCCCCCTGCCCAAGGTACTGTAAACTACTTTTGTATGTGTGTCAGCCATAATTCCTGTCACACTTGACAGTAGAGCTCAGCCCTTGAGACCCTGACCTGATGTATTATTCTTGAGTAATTCCATGTATTAATGTTGAAAGTGAGTGCCGCTCTTTTACGATCAGTGGTGTTACATTTGTCTTGTAGCATTACAGATATGAGAACAGAAACACTATATACACTGTAGACTCCTCCTGAGCCAATGAGCCCCGCACTAATTCCTTTGACTTCCCCGTAGGCTGTGTGTTGTGATGACCACCTCCACTGCTGCCCCCACGGGACCATCTGTAACTTGGTAGAGAGTACGTGTGATGACCCTTCTTCGGGCTCTGCCCTGGTACCCATGCTGGACAAGGTGCCGGCCTTTAGCTATGCGTCGAAGGATGAGCCGCTGCCCAATAGCAAATGTGACAAATCCACGTCGTGCCCGGGCAAATCCACGTGCTGCAAGACCACCACAGGAAACTGGGCATGCTGCCCCCTGCCCAATGTATGGACATTTCCACATACACCCCCACTGACTTATTTGCCATGTCCTTGTTAAGGGTCTTACCTTTTAGCTCTCTTTGTTCACTTTAGGTAACCTCAGGTTGAATTTGATTGAATGATGTCCATGTTAAATTATATTCCTAAAGTAACTGGACTTGAATTAACTCTAATTGGAAAACACTACTGTCCCTGTACAGTCATTCCGAGTGGTGCTAATTTGATACTCTTATGAATAGTCCTTTTTTCCAATCATCTCAGTGAGTCATTGAATTAAATCCGAGGCAAATAAGCATCACGTTTCTAGCCTAAAGGTAGCCTAACTGTTATGTCAGTACTAACAAGCCCATGCGTTCTCTGTGCCCCTCAGGCGGTGTGTTGCAACGACCACCTCCACTGCTGCCCCCACGGCACTGTGTGTAACCTGGAGGCCAGTACCTGTGATGACCCCTCAGGCTTCAACATGCCGTGGGTCACCAAGGTGCCAGCACTCATCACCCAGGCACCACTGGCCACTGAGATGTGTGACGAACAGACCATGTGCCCCGGGGGCACCACCTGCTACAGACAGAACTCAGGACAGTGGGCATGCTGTCCTCTACCTGATGTGAGTTAACTTTTTCCCCCATCTGATGGTTTCAGTAGCTAAATTTCCATTCAATTGGCGACAGATTTTCATGCGAATATTCAAAACAAATATATATAATATGCGCATTTTCCCACTAGAGATGTTTCCATCAAATTGACTTGTTGCAGATAAAAGACTGTGCGTGATGACGTAGTACACATAAAAATACCTTTTGTGGTTAAATTCCCATTTACCAAATAAACATTTTTAAAAAGTTTAATGGGTTTCCATTGCATTTTCAACTATTTTGGTTTTCTCACAAAATAAATTGCGTTTTATATAGCGATTGTGCCCACTCTGGTATTGGCACGTCTGCTCCAGTCAACAGCGTGCAGATACACGTATAGCCCACCATTTTTATTTGTCAAACGGCAGCCAAGCATCAATGATCATGTAACCAGAATAAGACCCTCGAGATTTATTGGGAAGGAGCATCAAGCTCATCACCTTGCACTTTCACCACCCGGTGAAGTTCCTAACTTATTTAATCTGTAGCCTAATAAACCACATGTCATCGCGTGACTCCCAAGTTTACTTCGATATGATGGTTATTATATCAATATTTGCGCATAAGCGTTTCCACCAATATTTCTCGCATAATTCATTTTACAGACACAAAAGATCCCACCTTCTCTAGTGTATTTTGTTTTGTCGACATTTGGAAAGTTTACCGAAAAATTCAGTTTCCATCAGGCCTGTCATGACATTTATGTGCTTTACTCGCATAAAAAAAGTTGGATGGAAACCTGGTTAATGACTCTCTTCATAGACGAATGAAGATTAATTAAGATTAATTGAAGAGTTTTGTAAAATTCTGAAGGAACATTGATTTAAGACTTGACACAAACCTCCTGTGGTCTCAGCATGCCTCTTTATGAATACCAGCCTCGATATTTGGTGATTGCAAAACAAGGGCTCTTAACTGTAAGTTAAGATTTGAAATAATGTTATTGTTGCCCCTTAGGCGGTGTGCTGCGACAACAATGAGCACTTCTGCCCTAAAGGCTACACGTGTAACGTGGCCGAGCAGACCTGTGACAAAGCCGGGACCCTCAGCTTGCCCTGGGTCCCCAAGGTGCTAGCCCTGCTCGTGCACAGAGTGCTTCCCCAGGCCAGTGCCCCCTCCGTCCCCCCAGCCAAGAACATGTGTGACCCCCACACCAGCTGCCCCAAATATACCACCTGCTGCTTCATGAACAAGGCTGGCAAGTGGGGATGCTGCCCCCTGCCAAAGGTAAGGAGGCTACTCTGAGGCCTTTGGCTGTGGCAACTTTTCAAGATATTATTATTTATGATGAACAAAGCAATGGCAACACTATTTTAAGTAACAGAAAATTGACAGTTGAAATTATAAAAATTGTTAATTGTTACTTACTCCTCTTTGCTCCTTGTGGAGCATAAGGCCGCCTGGAATTACATGGTGAAATAGTGAATATACACTATTAATCTCTGTATGACCTCTGTAAATGGTCTGCTCCTCCCCAGGCGATGTGCTGTGCCGACGGAGACCACTGCTGCCCCAGCGGCTACAGCTGTGATGACCACAAGACCTCCTGCACTAAGGGCCACCTGACCATCCCCTGGTACCGCAAAGAGAAGGCCCTGACTGAGGGAGCCATGTTGAAAGACGTAAAGTGTGACGACAAGAGCAGCTGTGCCTCGGGGGCCACCTGCTGCAAGCTGCCCACAGGCGAATGGGGCTGCTGTCCCCTGGTCAAGGTGCGTCTCCATTGACTTTCTGTGATAATGGATTGGATTTATATACAGTGCATTTGAAATTATTCAGACCCCTTCACTTTTTTTGTGTTTTACTATGTTACAGCCTTGTTCTAAAATTGATTAAATTGTGTTTTTTTTGCCCTCAATCTACACACAATACCCTGTAATGATAAAGCAAAAACACGTTTCTTTTTTTTTGTGCAAATTTATAAATCTAAAAAAACTGAGGGGGCTCCCGAGTGGCGCAGTAGTCTAAGGCACTGCATCGCAGTGCTAGAGGCGTCACTACAGACCCTGGTTCGTTCCCGGGCTGTATCACAACTGGCCGTGATCGGGAGTCCCATAGGGCGGCTCACAATTGGCCCAGTGTCGTCCGGGTTATGGGATGGTTTGGCTGGGGGGGCTTTACTTGGCTCATCGCATTCTAGCGACTCCTTGTGGCGGCCGGGTGCCTGCAGGCTGACCTCGGTCGTCAGGTGAACAGTGTTTCCTCTGACACATTGGTACGGCTGGCTTCCGGGTTAAGCAGGCGGGTGTTAAGAAGCGCGGTTTGGCGGGTCATGTTTCGGAGGAAGCATGACTCGACCTTCGCCTCTCCAGAGCCCGTTGGGGAGTTGCAGCGATGAGACAAGATTGAAATTGGGGAGAAAAGGGGGGTGAATATATATATATATATATATATATATATATATATATATACACACACACTACCAGTCAAAAGTTTGGACACACCTACTCAAGATCTCGCGATATATGGCCCCATCCATCCTCCCCTCAATACGGTGCAGTCGTCCTGTCCCCTTTGCAGAAAAGCATCCCCAAAGAATGATGTTTCCACCTCCAAGCTTCACGGTTGGGATTGTGTTCTTGGGGTTGTACTCATCCTTCTTCTTCCTCCAAACACGGCGAGTGGAGTTTAGACCAAAAAGCTATATTTTTGTCTCATCAGACCTACTCCCATTCCTCCTCTGGATCATTCAGATGGTCATTGGCAAACTTCAGACGGGCCTGGACATGCGCTGGCTTGAGCAGGGGGACCTTGTGTGCGCTGCAGGATTTTAATCCATGATGGCGTAGTGTGTTACTAATGGTTTTCTTTGAGACTGTGGTCCCAGCTCTCTACAGGTCATTGACCAGGTCCTGCCGTGTAGTTCTGGGCTGATCCCTCGCCTTCCTCATGATCATTGATGCCCCACGAGGTGAGATCTTGCATGGAGCCCCAGACCGAGGGTGATTGACGGTCATCTTGAACTTCTTCCATTTTCTAATAATTGCCTTCTCACCAAGCTGCTTGCCTATTGTCCTGTAGCCCATCCCAGCCTTGTGCAGGTCTACAATTTTATGCCTGATGTCCTTACACAGCTCTCTGGTCTTGGCCATTGTGGAGAGGTTGGAGTCTGTTTGATTGAGTGTGTGGACAGGTGTCTTTTATACAGGTAACGAGTTCAAACAGGTGCAGTTAATACAGGTAATGAGTGGAGAACAGGAGGGCTTCTTAAGGAAAAACTAACAGGTCTGTGAGAGCCGGAATTCTTACTGGTTGGTAGGTGATCAAATACTTATGTCATGCAATAAAATGCAAATTAATTACTTAAAAATCATACAATGTGATTTTCTGGATTTTTGTTTTAGATTCCGTCTCTCACAGTTGAAGTGTACCTATGATAAAAATTACAGACCACTACATGCTTTGTAAGTAGGAAAACCTGCAAAATCGGCAGTGTATCAAATACTTGTTCTCCCCACTGTATATACCTTAGCCAAATACATTTAAACTGAGTTTTTCACAATTACTGACATTTAATCCTAGTAAAGATTCCCTGTCTTGGGTCAGTTAGGATCACCACTTTATTTTAAGATTGTGAAATGTCAGAATAATAGTAGAGTGATTAATTTTCTGCTTTTATTTCTTTCATCACATTCCCAGTGGGTCAGAAGTTTACATACACTCAATTAGTATTTTGTAGCATTGCCTTGAAATTGTTTAACTTGGGTCAAATGTTTCGGGTAGCCTTCCACAAACCTCCCACAATAAGTTGGGTGAATTTTGGCCCATTCCTCCTGACAGAGCTGGTGTAACTGAGTCAGGTTTGTAGGCCTCCTTGCTCGCACACACGCTTTTTCAGTTCTGCCCACACATTTCTTTATAGGATTGAGGTCAGGGCTTTGTGATGGCCACTCCAATACCTTGACTTTGTTGTCCTTAAGCCATTTTGACACAACTTTGGAAGTATGCTTGGGGTCATTGTCCATTTGGAAGACCCACTTGCGACCAAGCTTTAACTTCCTGACTGATGTCTTGAGATGTTGCTTCAATATATCCACATAATTTTCCTTCCTCATGATGCCATCTATGTTGTGAAGTGCACCAGTCCCTCCTGCAGCAAAGCACCCCCACAGCATGATGCTGCCACCCCCGTGCTTCACGGTTGGGATGGTGTTCTTCGGCTTGCAAGGCACTCCCTTTTTCCTCCAAACATAACGATGGTCATTATGGCCAAAAAGTTATATTTTTGTTTCATCAGACCAGAGGACATTTCTCCAAAAAGTATGATCTTTGTCCCCATGTGCAGTTGCAAACCATAGTCTGGCTTTTTTATGGCGGTTTTGGAGAAGTGGCTTCATCCTTGCTGAGCGGCCTTTCAGGTTATGTCGATATAGGACTCGTTTTACTGTGGATATAGATACTTTTGTACCTGTTTCCTCCAGCATCTTCACAAGGTCCTTTGCTGTTGTTCTGGGATTGATTTGCACTTTTCGCACCAAAGTACGTTCATCTCTAGGAGACAGAACGCTTCTCCTTCCTGAGCGGTATGACGGCTGCGTGGTCCCATGGTGTTTATACTTGCGTACTATTGTTTGTACAAATGAACATGGTACCTTCAGGCGTTTGGAAATTGCTCCCAAGGATGAACCAGACTTGTGGAGGTCTACAATTTTTATTCTGAGGTCTTGGCTGATTTCTGTTGATTTTCCCATGATGTCAAGCAGAGGCACTGAGTTTGAAGGTAGGCCTTGAAATACATACACAGGTACACCTCCAATTGACTCAAATTATGTCAATTAGCCTACCAGAAGCTTCTAAAGCCATGACATCATTTTCTGGAATTTTCCAAGCTGTTTAAAGGCACAGTCAACTTAGTGTATGTAAACTTCTGACCCACTGGAATTGTGATACAGTGAATTATTAATTAAATAATCTGTCTGGAAACAATTGTTGGAAAAATTACTTGTCATGCACAAAGTAGATGTCCTAACCGACTTGCCAAAACTATAGTTTGTTAACAAGAAATTTGTGGAGTGGTTGAAAAACGAGTTTTAATGACTCCAACCTAAGTGTATGTAAACTTCTGACTTCAACTGTATACAGTGGGGAGAACAAGTATTTGATACACTGCCGATTTTGCAGGTTTTCCTACTTACAAAGCATGTAGAGGTCTGTAATTTTTATCATAGGTACACTTCAACTGTGAGAGACGGAATCTAAAACAAAAATTCAGAAAATCACATTGTATGATTTTTAAGTAATTCATTTGCATTTTATTGCATGACATAAGTATTTGATACATCAGAAAAGCAGAACTTAATATTTGGTACAGAAACCTTTGTTTGCAATTATAGAGATCATACGTTTCCTGTAGGTCTTGACCAGGTTTGCACACACTGCAGCAGGGATTTTGGCCCACTTCTCCATACAGACCTTCTCCAGATCCTTCAGGTTTCGGGGCTGTTGCTGGGCAATACGGACTTTCAGCTCCCTCCAAAGATTTTCTATTGGGTTCAGGTCTAGAGACTGGCTAGGCCACTCCAGGACCTTGAGATGCTTCTTACGGAGCCACTCCTTAGTTGCCCTGGCTGTGTGTTTCGGATCATTGTCATGCTGGAAGACCCAGCCACGACCCATCTTCAATGCTCTTACTGAGGGAAGGAGGTTGTTGGCCAAGATCTCGCGATACATGGCCCCATCCATCCTCCCCTCAATACGGTGCAGTCGTCCTGTCCCCTTTGCAGAAAAGCATCCCCAAAGAATGATGTTTCCACCTCCATGCTTCACGGTTGGGATGGTGTTCTTGGGGTTGTACTCATCCTTCTTCTTCCTCCAAACACGGCGAGTGGAGTTTAGACCAAAAAGCTCAATTTTTGTCTCATCAGACCACATGACCTTCTCCCATTCCTCCTCTGGATCATCCAGATGGTCATTGGCAAACTTCAGACGGGCCTGGACATGCGCTGGCTTGAGCAGGGGGACCTTGCGTGCGCTGCAGGATTTTAATCCATGACGGCGTAGTGTGTTACTAATGGTTTTCTTTGAGACTGTGGTCCCAGCTCTCTTCAGGTCATTGACCAGTTCCTGCCGTGTAGTTCTGGGCTGATCCCTCACCTTCCTCATGATCATTGATGCCCCACGAGGTGAGATCTTGCATGGAGCCCCAGACCGAGGGTGATTGACCGTCATCTTGAACTTCTTCCATTTTCTAATAATTGCGCCAACAGTTGTTGCCTTCTCACCAAGCTGCTTGCCTATTGTCCTGTAGCCCATCCCAGCCTTGTGCAGGTCTACAATTTTATCCTTGATGTCCTTACACAGCTCTCTGGTCTTGGCCATTGTGGAGAGGTTGGAGTCTGTTTGATTGAGTGTGTGGACAGGTGTCTTTTATACAGGTAACGAGTTCAAACAGGTGCAGTTAATACAGGTAATGAGTGGAGAACAGGAGGGCTTCTTAAAGAAAAACTAACAGGTCTGTGAAAGCCGGAATTCTTACTGGTTGGTAGGTGATCAAATACTTATGTCATGCAATAAAAAGCAAATTAATTACTTAAAAATCATACAATGTGATTTTCTGGATTTTTGTTTTAGATTCCGCCTCTCACAGTTGAAGTGTACCTATGATAAAACTTACAGACCTTTACATGCTTTGTAAGTAGGAAAACCTGCAAAATCGTCAGTGTATCAAATACTAGTTCTCCCCACTGTATATACACAC